CTTAACATACTGTGATGCCGTCTCCCAGCAGGACGAGACAAAACCAATAAAACCCATTACAAATGAGGCATTTGTTGCATTCAGTGGGGACATAATTACTGATTATAATGACTTATACTGTATTTTTACGCGTTGCCTTGCGTATCGCGCTGTGTAAACATTAAACCATGTCTGCATTTGTGATCGGAGAAACAACAAACAACAAGCCTACTCTACACTGCTCAAAACTCGTGTTTGAATCATCAGTGGCACATTATTTAAATATAAAAACATACTTACAGACTGTGAATCAGAAGCACCAGACTGTCCTTGCAAAGTTGGAACTGCCCAACTTTATATAAACAGCCTTTGTGCCACAGAAGCATTGTAGGCTACTGGTTGAGGAAACAGTCCTCATCCTCCATAAAATGCGCAGCACGCATCTGAATATTTCTAGTTGTGTCCTCTTTTTTTCTAGTTGTGTCCTCTTTTGGAAGGCCAAACAAAGTAGTTTACTTTACAGATCTTCTTTATGCACCAAGAGCTTGTAACACGCCAAAGAGAAAGGAAAAATTGAAATCGCATCATATGACCCCTTTAAGTGTTATCAGCCATTATGTACTAACATTTAAATTGATAAAGTTCTCTTGGCCACCTCTTTGGCCACCTGCTCACAACTGCTGTTTCTGACTTATTTAGACATAGAACTGTCTCTTTACAGCCACATCACAGATGTTTTAGGCATGCACTGAACTTTGCCTCAGCGCCAGGCACAAGTCAAATGACTGCCAGAAAAGTATAGGTGCAGAGAGAGCTTCAGTAAAAGAACAGTATATATACGAGATTTTGTGGAGCAGATAATACAGCATGGTTAAAAATGGAGACAATTAAAGCAGCATCTAAATTTAGCAAATGCATGAATGTATTTTTTTTATATGCGTCACATTTAAAGGGATAGTTCACACAAAAATGAACATTCTGTCATCATTTACTCACCCTCGTGTCATTCCAAACTCGTAAGACTTTCGTTCTTCTTCGGAACACAAATTAAGATTTCGAGATTTTGTGGAGCAGATAATACAGCATGGTTAAAAATGGAGACAATTAAAGCAGCATCTAAATTTAGCAAATGCATGAATGTATTTTTTTTATATGCGTCACATTTAAAGGGATAGTTCACACAAAAATGAACATTCTGTCATCATTTACTCACCCTCGTGTCATTCCAAACTCGTAAGACTTTCGTTCTTCTTCGGAACACAAATTAAGATTTTTTTTTTTTAATGAAATCTGAATTTTTAAAAAGATGCAAGATTGCATCTTTTTATATTTTTGATTCGACAGTGTTGTTAGACTGTTTTTCCTATGCACCTATCGTTTTTTCAGGTGTGCTGAGTTTCATTGATTCATGAAATCTGAGCAATTTCTGTCCCTCCATTGACAGTCTGGACAACTACCATTTTGATGCTTCAAAAAGTTCATAAAAAGATCATAAAACTAATCCATATGAATTGATTGGTTCAGTCCAAATTTTCTGAAGAGACTTGATTGCTTCATATGATGTAATTTATATTACCTTGAGCATAATAAGTACATTGTACCTAACAATTAAGTAAGGAATAATTGTATAAATAATTGACGACGGGCAGTTGAATTATTAGAAAAATAATGTGGCCACGACGCGAAGCAGAGTCAATTATTCCGCTTATACTACGGTTACCACACCTCAAGACATCGATCAGATGATATAATTAAAGTGATTCGTCCGGTTTTTGTACTTAAATCGCTATTGTGAGTAGGATTATTTCTTCTGCATCTCATCCAACGCCTCTTTTGCTAGTTCCAAAACGTCATTTTAAAGCTGGTAATGGAGGCTTGAGCTGTTGATAGCATTCTAATGCAGTTATTAATGAAGTTATTAGAAAGAGAGCGAGAGAGACAGAGACACACAGAGAAAGAGAAAGAAAGAGAGAGAGAGAGAGAGAGAGAGCTTGTGTGAATTAGGCTACCTCTGTGCGAAGATCTGTCCTCTGCTGGAAAACAAACAATGCAGATTAGAGAAACTGAAGTGTGTATCTTCATTTATTTATATTTCTACATGATAACATGCATTTATAAATGTCCATTTGTCATGACAAATGATTAAGGCTGTGGGGGCTGTAATTATTTTTGTACATTGCTATCTTTATTCTATGAAATATTACAAAATCTAATTAAGTGGATGCTACCATTAAGGCATTTGTTGCTTATCTGTGGGGTGAGATTTTTAAACATTTAAATGCAATTATTAACACATTTTCACACTTTCCATGGCAATGCTTTTTATAATTACTTTTAAAAATATAATTATTAGTTTAATTTTTCTTAAAGTTTTTCTTATGATTTAAATAATGATGTCACTTTATATGCATTTTGCTTATTTAGTGTATGTACGCCTCTTTTGCTAGTTCCAAAACGTCATTTTAAAGCTGGTAATGGAGGCTTGAGCTGTTGATAGCATTCTAATGCAGTTATTAATGAAGTTATTAGAAAGAGAGCGAGAGAGACAGAGACACACAGAGAAAGAGAAAGAAAGAGAGAGAGAGAGAGAGAGAGAGCTTGTGTGAATTAGGCTACCTCTGTGCGAAGATCTGTCCTCTGCTGGAAAACAAACAATGCAGATTAGAGAAACTGAAGTGTGTATCTTCATTTATTTATATTTCTACATGATAACATGCATTTATAAATGTCCATTTGTCATGACAAATGATTAAGGCTGTGGGGGCTGTAATTATTTTTGTACATTGCTATCTTTATTCTATGAAATATTACAAAATCTAATTAAGTGGATGCTACCATTAAGGCATTTGTTGCTTATCTGTGGGGTGAGATTTTTAAACATTTAAATGCAATTATTAACACATTTTCACACTTTCCATGGCAATGCTTTTTATAATTACTTTTAAAAATATAATTATTAGTTTAATTTTTCTTAAAGTTTTTTCTTATGATTTAAATGATGTCACTTTATATGCATTTTGCTTATTTAGTGTATGTAGATCATGAAGTACTTAACAAATTCTTTAATGTACAGACTTTCAGACTGCAGTATCACTGAAGAAGGTTATAAAGCTCTGGCTTCAGCTCTGAGATCAAACCCTTCACACCTGATAGAGCTGGATCTCACAGGAAATGATCCTGGACAATCAGGAGTGAAGCAGCTCAATGATTTACTACAGGATAAACACTGTAAATTAAAGACCATCAGGTAATAAAAGCATTCAGATAAATAAACATTAATGTTTTTTCAGTTTTTATAACAGTTTTTCTCAGAGTTTTGTAATACAATGTAAAAAATAACTGATTGTGCTTATTTCTTTTATTTGAATAATACAAATGTTCTCAATGAAACTGGAGACAATTATCATAACTGTAACTTCAACCACGTACTACACACATTTTACATTAATACTACACTGGAGTAGAGGTGCACAATATTTAGGTGGCTGAGATATTATTGGCTGATCACTGGGAAAATTCAGTTATTATTATAGCACTGAGAATGGATTTTCCACTTATATTTTCACAGATAATCAGTTGTGGTATATTTGTGTTCACAAGAGAATATCTGATAATGATTCAGTGTATTTGTCAGCTGGTGTCACGTGTGTTTAGACAAATTATAGCACATTATCATTTTCTGTTAGTATTATTTTTGGCCATGTTTTATTTTAATCATCTGCTGTAATTAAAGATATGCTGTTTTATGTGTTCTGTTTATGTGTAAGGAAGTAATAAGTGAAAACACATTTCTGTACTTTCTGTTTCTGGTGTTTGCTTATACATGAAAATGGCATATGTTTTTATTCTGTGTGTTGTTTTATCTTTATTGCCTGCTGTAAATTTAATTTATGTTTAATTCATTGAGACAAATGTTTGTAGTTAATTATTCTACTCTGTTTAGAGATTCATTCAGAATGGGAGCTCTTAAAGGCATAAAATTGGAATATTATCTAATCTGTAATTCTGCTTCCTGTAGGTTTTTGAAAAGTCCTGCTGCAGAGGAAGCGTGTGAGTATCTTACAAAAGTTCTGGGTAAAAGTCCATTACTTCTGACAGAACTGGATCAGTGAAGATAGATTAGGAGATCTGGATTGGGAGAAACTCTCTGCTCTTTTGATGGACTCTCATAGCAAACTGGAGACAATAAAGTGAGTGAACATGATTTATACATTATAACTTCTGTTTCATCATTATTAGATTGTCAGTCACATGTGTGAGCAGATATGAAGAATTGTTGATTTGTTGTTTGTTGAATATGTGCTGAATAATAAATAATGCTGTTTGTTATCCAAAGCGACTTACAAATGAGGACAACAGAAGCAATCAATTGTAGTATTAAAACAACTAAAAACAGATTCAAAACTAAAAGCTAAAACTCAAAACTTAACATTTAAATGAAAAACAAAAGCAAATACAAATCAAACGACAGTAGTTTATCAGTAATCCTAAAAAATAACACTGCCAAACCTACATGCTAAAAAACAACAACTTACTTGCACAGTGTTTCCCCTAGGTTTACGGGAAGGTTTACGACTCCTTTTTAATGGTTAAATAAAATTGTATTAATCGAAAAGCATGTCTAATTAATTCAAATCATGAAACTTAAACAATTTAACATCAATTTATTAAAAGTTTAACAAAAATTACATGTTTAGGGCCCTATTAAATGTTTTATTTTTTTCCAACCTTATGTTTTATTGTTAACAAATTCTGATTTAGCATGTCTAATTATTTGAATTTTAAGGCATAAAATATTAATTTAATCTATCTTTTAAGTAATGAGAACACATTTGTGCATTTTTACACAAAAGTCATGTCAAATTAGATTTTTTGGAAAATAAAGGTCATTTAATATTACAATTAAAACATTGAAGAAATATTGTATGATTATTCCTTAAAAATAAGGTTTTAATAATTTTAGTAGTAGTAGTAGTAACCTATTGTAACAGTTCGTAGTTTGGGAAGAAGGAGGCGGGAACCGGCGAAAGCTCAAAGAAAACTTTAATAAAATAAACAAACACCAAAACACAAAATAAACTCCAGGCCTGGTCCTCTCTCGTCTGTCACTGTCGTAGCTGGATCTCACAGGAAATGATCCTGGACAATCAGGAATGAAGCAGTTTATTGATTTACTACAGAATCAAACCTATTCACTGAAAACACTGAGGTGAGTGTCCTTAAGTGCAATACATTTAAGATTTTAACTGAAATGCAATTAAACCATCAAACCATCTTTTATCTCTGTGTGCAACATTTACATGTACCTACATCTAGATTAATTGACCAGATCTTACCTTTGAATTCAGTTATTTTTTAATAAATAAGAACTATGATTTGTGAAAAGATTGAAATAATTTAATAAATTAATTATTTCTTTTTGCAATGATTTGAGTTTAATGGTTATTTTGGATTATACTTGTAAAATTTAATTACTTTTATGTTGTATTTGTGGTGTACTCAATTCAGTTGTATTTGTAATTCATCCTCTCCTGTTTAATATTTTAGGCTGTGTGATTGTGGTCTAACAGACGAAAGCTGTTCAGCTCTCGCTACAGTCCTGAGATCAAACTCCAGTCTGAAAGAACTTGACTTGAGCAACAATAATCTGCAGGATTCAGGAGTGAAGAAACTCCAGAACGGATTAGAAGATACATACTGTACACTGGAGAAACTCAGGTGAGTTGAATTATCATTAATTGCATGTAACATTTTTTTTTTCATAATAACATTTATATTTTAACAGTAAGAAATATGTTTTTAATTCTATAAATCACATAGTACTTTTTGATCATTATAAAACTTTTTTTTCCAAATAGACTTTCAGACTGCAGTATCACTGAAGAAGGTTATCTAGCTCTGGCTTCAGCTCTGAGATCAAACCCTTCACACCTGATAGAGCTGGATCTCAGAGGAAATGATCCTGGACAATCAGGAGTGAAGCAGCTTGATGATTTACTACAGGATACAAACTATCAACTGAAGACACTGAGGTGAGATGTGATGAGATGATACAAAATAAATGACATGCAGGCTAAATATTCATACATAATATTATTTCAGTAATACAATAAGCTTGATTTGGTGCATCTAAGGTACTGTGTTGTTGGTGACAAAGTGTTGTGGTATAAGCTACAGTACTGTTTAAATAGACATTATGAGCCGCTAAATGTGCTGATACTCAGTAGTTTGTTACTAACTTTTTCTGAATACACTGTAGTTTAATTTCCATCAAGCCCAGATTCTCAACACTGTATCACTCTGCAGCAGATCTATGAGTCTACAGTTCTTCACAAACATGTGGTGTCTTGAAAGATCTTTTGCTCTTCTGCTCCTCATGACATTAGCACTGTTGCACTGTTTCTGTTTTTAGACATCACTGTTTTTTGACATTTGGATGTCAAATAATAATACTTTTTTATGTTCAAAGTAAAACAGTAAATAGAGCTTGTCATTAGGAAAAATAATGAATTCTGTTTTATCAACATGTTTTGTAAGGCAGTGGACATTTATTTCAGAATTAACATGAATCCTGCTTTACCTTTTGCAGGTTTTTGAGAAGTCCTGCTGCAGATGAAGCCTGTCAGTATGTGAAAGGAATTGTGGGTAAAAACCCGTTACTCCTGAGAGAGCTGAATCTGAGTGAACGTGAACTAGGAGACACACGAGTGAAACAGATCGCTGCTCTTCTGCAGGATAAACACTGTAAACTCAACACATTGACGTGAGTATCTTACATAATTTAACATGTATTTGATAATACAATTTTCTCATTTGTTTGAGCCAGAGGCGTCACAATGTGAAGTATTAAAATTAAACAGGCCATTAAAAACAAATAATTTTAAAAAATGACAATTAGCTTTAAACAGTAGGCCAAATCACTTAGATCATGGGTCATTATTAATTATTTCAGATACTGTAGAGGGAGAGCAATGGTTTTCTTAAAGAACTTACAAACCCTTCAAAACAAAAATGCAACATTTCAACAATTTAGTGCCTGTTTCAGAACAAAGAAAATTAATGATGTATCAACAGATCATCCACCAATCTTTATCGGCTGACGTTCAACCTAATCCTTCAGTCCTGCTTAAATTCAGGAAACCTTAATTGATTTTCATAGATCTGATTCATTGTCTTTTCTCTTTCTGTCTTCAGTCTGTGTGGATGCAGTATTACAGAGAAACAGTGTTTCATCCTGACTTCAGCTCTGTGTTCAAACCTTTCACACCTGAGAGAGCACCATCTACTGTCAAGAGAGTGAACTGCAGTTTCATTCAGCATGTCTACTTCACTTCTGGTGGTTGACTGTCTGGGAGTGACACATGCATTGCTGAAGCAACAGTGCAAGTTTATGTTAATGAGAACTTTAAAATATGTTTGGTTCATTATCAAACTGAGGTGGAACAAATTAGAATATGGCAGGCCACCATAGTTTAAATAATTAATGGGGAACACTGAATTTCTCTGCCACTGGAAAGCCATTAGGTGAAACTCATCATCACATGATTTCCTATTGAAGTGACTGTGATTTTGCCTAGAAAATTATGCTAAGAAATGACAAACATGACTGTGCCCTCTGGGTTAATATCACACTCTGGGTTAAAGGGAAAATAATTTTCTTCCTCTGTCTGCTTGTCTTTCTCTTTCTAGTATACATGACTGTGGCATTACAGATGTTGCTTGTTTGGCTCAGTCTTTGGCTGAAACAAAAGCACTGCAGTTTTTAAAAGAGCTTGATCTGAGTAACAATAAAATAGGAGACTCAAAGCAGCAGCTCAGTGATGTGCTACGAGACTCAAACTGTGAACTGAGGTGAGAAAACATCCTTCTGTCGCAGACACACTAACACAAACAGACAAACATTATGTACACTGTTTTAAATTTATTATATATATAAAAAAAATATATATATATATATATTTTTTTTGTTACAGTCTACTTTGTACTAATTAAAATATTGCAACAAATTTTCAACTTGTTCTACTCAACACTGTTGTTCTCTTCTGATTCCTCTTTACAGCCTGGAGAAAGAACAATCGCTCTTGAGGGCTGGTGTAAACTACATTGGTAGCTACATTGGTGGGTGGTTTACTCGGTCTAAAGCTCCGGAGGATCCTGTGAAATCAACAGAACAAGAAACGTCATCAGATGAGGAATCCTCGGAAGGTTCTCACTTTAGTACTGTTATAAATTAATATGTGTGATGGTAATTTTGGTGAGATGTTGCTAAACAGCAAACAATTAATAGAAACAATGCCAAACTTACAGCTGCTACAACTTCAAATAGCACTGCTTTAACAAATCTAAAGCTATTATGCTAACTGTTATATATTACTTTTTAAAAATGATTACTAATGCAAACAGGTGGAAGAGGGTTAGACCTTCAAATGAAATAATGCAGCATTAATAGAAACATACATGTACACATGAGTAATGGTGAATGCTTTATTGTATGTTTTGTATTTATCTGAATGCTATTTTGCATTTTTTACAGGTGAAACAGAGGAGGGAGAAGAGGCTGATGAGCGCTCAAAACAGCTGGATTAGTAAGAATACAAGTCTATGGTATAAGACCTTCATCATGATGATGTCAAGATTAAACTCATCCATAATGAAACAATTAAAATATTGCTGATCATGACTGTGAATGTAATTTAGCACTTATATATCAAATAACATAAACTGAGTCTAAAATTTAAATGTAATTATTATGGGCTACATGTACACAGATTCAAATCAGTGATCTATAATAGAGTCATTTTTAGAGATCAGTGGTCCTGTCGTATTTATATTTCTTTATACCATTGTTTATTTTACATTTATGTATGTTTTACATTACATTTCTCTTACATTTTATATACAGACTGTTTAAATGTGTTTTTGTAAGTTCTGTGTCTGTCTCATGAGAAACATGTCTCTGTACATAAGACTCTTTGACTGAAGTAAGAGGTGTGGATGAATCTGTTCTCTCACACCGGCGCAGACTGATCTTTACTAGTTAGAATTTATGCAGCATATTATGTGCTTTCAGTCACTAGTTTAGATTGTATATCGAATGCGTTTTGTTTAGTGATTTTAATCTTCTCTTGTATTGTAATGTAATGTGTTGGCATATTGTAACTATACAAATAAAAAACTTGATCATTTTATTTTGTTTGAAGAGTTTATTAATTCAATAGCCAGCTATCAGTATAATTGGAGATACAGCAGATACCAAGATTTTCCACTGAAAAAGTCACATCTGCAGTTCTTCAAGCTCACCGCTAGAGGTCAACACACCATCACATCACATTAAAGTACAAGCAACAGTTTCAGCATGTCACTATAGTGTCCAAACCATATAGACTTTATGCTCCAAACTTTGTCCAAACCTTCAGCAGAACTAGTATTTTACAGCTCTGTGTGCGATTGCTTTTCCTACTGTTTCCTGCTGCTGCTGCTATTATTACACAGAATTCTATGCTCATGAATTAGATATATTTACATTAGAAACACTTAATCTACTAATTAACTTATTTAATTGATTCGTAAGTTTGTAATATCGAATTAAGCAAATTATGCATAAATCGAATGACTAGATGTACAATATTTCCAAATAGTTACAAATTTCTCCCAAAATAAAATGTATATTTGTTCATTCACACTCTTCCATTCATTTTATTCTGGAACGTGAGGTTTGTTATGGCGTTTTTATTTCTTAAATATGAATATAAATGTATTCTCTTTTTTGTTATAATGTGTCAGAGTGTTTGTATGAATTGATGAATATGAAGCGGATGTGTTTTCGCGAGGTTTGTGTTTCAGAGTGTTTGTTTGTCGCGCGCAGATCTGAGGGGTGCCGCGGGCGCGTGTGCATGGCAGCATCTTTCGCCCACCGACATCTCTTCATTTCACTTCATTTTACTTCTCAGACAAAAACAGCGATTGCTGCCGCGTCGTATCTGGATATTCCGCTCTGCTGGGTCACCGTGAGGATATCTGTGCTGCAGGATTGAGTGTTTTCATGGAAAATGGCGAGATGGGTTCACGCGTGTCTGCTGCTGCTGGTGATTTTCAGCGGATCGTGGACCGCAGTGGACACGCTCACATTTCCACAGCATTACACGTAAGACACGATTCTCACAGCATTATATGAAGGAATCATTCGTTTCCAGAGTGTTACACGCAAGAAAACGCTCTGTAAGAACTGTTTCCACAACGTAACACGTTAGAAATGTAATTCAAAGCAATACACGTAGCCTATTAGATAAGAAATGTACATTTCCATAGAAATACAAACAAGCCAATTTACACAAAATCAAAAGATACAATAATAATTTCCACAGCGTTACACGTAACAAACGCTAATTTCCACAGCGTTACATGTAAGAAATGTTCATTTCCACCTCAATGCACGTTCAAGAAATATTAATTTCCACAACATTACGTGTAACAGATTCTAGAAAAGGAAAGCTCACTTCCAACATTACACGTAAGAAAGAAATTTCCACGGCATTACACAGAAGAAAAACTTATGTCCACACCGTTACACTTAAGAAATACAAATTTCCACAAAATTTCACGTAAGGCCTATAATTTCCGCAACATTACAGGTATTATACTATTCACAACATTACACGTAAGAAATACTGATTTCCACAGCATTACATGCAAGAAACGCTTATTTTCTCAACGCTACATGTCAGAAAAATTAACTTCCACAACATTATACAATAAACTCACATTACCACACACTTAATTGATTGTTGAAGTTAACATGTTATTCATACGTGTTTAGGGTAAATTTGAGGTTACTAAGTTATACGTTGTAACAAATTTATCCCCCAAAAGACGTAAATATGGCTAAACCTCTCTATGGGAGAAAAAATAAATAAAATATGAATTTTTAAAATTCTAAAATACAAATGTAAGTGTGATTGAGATTTACTCATTAAAAACATTAAAATTGAGATTTTAATGGTTCAGTAACCCTCAGAAAATCGCAAAGTAATTACTGTCACATCTATCTATCTATCTATCTATCTATCTATCTATCTATCTTCTGTGGCTTAAAGGGGTCATATGATGCGATTTCAATTTTTCCTTTCTCTTTGTAGTGTTACAAGCGAGAAATTCTTTATAAAAGTTAAGAGTCAGCCACGCCTACCTAAAACGGCTCTTTCTAACACGCCCCCACATACCTACATCACTATGTGGGAAGATTTGCATAATGTAAATCTGCCTGTAAGTACGTTTACATATTTAAATAATTTGCCACTGATGATTCAAACGCGAGTTTTGAGCAGTGTAGAGTAGCGCTTGTTGTTTGTCGTTTCTCTGATCACAAATGCAGAAGACATGGTTTTATGGTTACGCGGCACGATATACAATGCAACTCATTAAAAGACAGTATAAGTCATTATAATCAGTAATTATGTCCCCACTGGATGCAACAAATGCCTCGTTTGTAATGGGTTTTATTGTTTTTGTCTCATCGCTCCGGCCGAACAGGGCATCACAATATGGTAAGGGGCGTAACATTTCCGTCACACGCTTGAGGTATTCGGCCAATCACAATGCACTGGATAGCTGGCCAATCAGAGCACACCTCTCTTTTCAGAACGATGAGCTTTGTAAAAATAGATGCGTTTCAGAAAGGCGGGGCATAGAGGAGAAACAATAATGTACAGTATGTGGAAAATAATGTGTTTTTTGAACCTTAAACCGCATAAACACATTTCATTACACCAAATACACAAAATAATGTTATTTTTAGCAACATCATATGACCCCTTTAAATCTTGATCTTTCCCTGTGAAGTAAATATGGGTCACAGCAGCCCCTCATTTCTCTGTATCTCTGTCTGTGTCTCTAGGGAGTGTGTGTAAGGTAATAGGCAGCCGGGAAGATCGCAGCTGTGTGTGTGTCTGGGTCTGGGGCTGGGCATGCTCAGATCAGCTGCTGAGAGTGCATCAGATCACCTGAATCACTGACACACACACACCCTAATACACTCTAACCTCTACATATTGTGTAACACATGCTGCTAAACGTGCAGTAAACCAGAGCATGTGTGTGTTTACATCAGCTGTGATTGACAGTGGAGACTGAAATTTTGCTGCATTCCTCTAGAATAATGAAATGTCATCAGTTATATTAATTTGCCAAGTGACCTTTATCCCCTTTTCAGTAAAGTCAACAGCTATAAGTAGAAGAAAGGCTCCAGTATGCCAATAATTTTTGTTTTATTCCAATATTTTTTCAATCCTTAGTGCCGATTGATAACTCTCCTACCCAAACACTCACTTTTTCATCAGACAATGTGAAAACCTAGGCCTAGTTAGTGTATTATGGCCAATAACTGATATGATGGCTGATATTGTAAATGTATTGTGTGCAGGGTTTGAAATTTAACACCCGCCAAATGCGGGTAAAAATGGCAGCTGTGGCGGGTAACGCTGTCAAATCACTAGCCAATTTGGCGGGTTACTTTTCGTAAATTATGTTTACTAATTAATTTCTTGAGGAAGTTCATGTAAGCCAAATCTGCGCAGATTTAGTGTAAATACTGAACTCGAGACTCATCACGCAGCATCTGGGCATATCTAGCTTACTTGAACATACCCAGCGATGTAGCTACTGGCCATCGGGAGCACCGGGACATTCCCGGTGGGCCGATCGCCGAAGCGAGGGAGACCTCATATTAGGCGCTGTTTGTAAGTTTACAGCCCACGCGAAACTGCAAAAAGCAAGTACTCCAAACGTGTGAAGCGGTGCTACCCGGTGCATCCGCCAGCCACGCGTTAAAGCAGAGCGGGATCAGTCTCCCGCACAGCGCTGCGCTTCCGCCACGATTTATAAGAGATAAACAGCGCAAATCGCTCGATCCATTCAGAATGACACAGAATTGTGTTATACAGTTGTGTGATATGACAACATTAAAGGTTCTGCCTGAAAACAGCCACGACAAAGTAAAATGCATGTAAACAAACTTTAATAGCGTATTTCTCTTTAAATGTTTCATTCTAATTAATTTTAATTTAAGATGTGGCACAGCACAGCACGACAAAATCCCCGACAGTAAACTGATGCCTCGTTCTATTTATGACGTAGGCCTACTGTTTGACAAAGTACAAATGATTTGCAATGGTCACTTTGTCGCATCCAGTGTGGACAGCCTCAAGCTGTTGGCTTACCTCCGGCCTTTTTTTCATAATTTATTTGTTTAATGTTTTTGGCGAGTAGAAATTATGAATGGCCGGTAACTTAAAAATTTAGTAGCCAAATTGGCTGGTGAGTGAAAAAGTTAATTTCAAACCCTGATTGTGTATGTGTGTGTGTGTATATAGTGCATCCAAAATTGTCCAGTCGTCATATCCTCTCAATTAACACAGATTATTAAAAGCTCGACCTGTAGAGATTTTGCTTGTTATGATCTTCTCTTGTTAATTGACAGTTGCAATTTAATTAGGTTCAGAGTGTGAATGCTAAACGACCTGAACTTATGTAATATAACATAACTGCAGTCGAGCTGTAATCACGTACAAATCTGTTGTCGTGGAAACAGTTAATATTTATGATCAGACTGCAGGGTTGTGATTTAACCGTACATGTTCTGTAGCAGAACCGATGGTTTAATGAAGCCAAACGGACCCCACAGATGCTAAATAATTCATCTGCATCTGTAGAGCAGGACTGCGTTCCTTCAAGCAGCGCGGTTTGTTTGAAGCCTGTGTGTTTGTGGACTGTATAAACACATCGCTTTCTGTACATAGATTATATTGATCAGTTTAGCCGACTGTGAGGATATTATATCATAATAGGTCACTGATACTGTCTAGGGATGCACCGATGCCACTTTTTCCAGTACAATCCACTCAACGTGCTTTGTTAATCAGCTCGCGCACATACAGGCATTAATACTGAATGTTTAACGTTATATTCATTGCATACATATACTTCGTAGTAGACATCCTTAACACCTTTCTGCTGTCTGTTGTTCTGTTGTCGGTGTTTCTTTGTCTGAATATGGCGCTTATCACATGCTGTGTGGTATCGGCGTTTGGTATCGGGGCATTTTTACGAGTACGAGTACAGGAGCTCAGTATCGGTATCGGTGCATCCCTATGTTGTAGGAATGAGGACAGTTCAGTTGAGGTCACTGAAAATATATTTACTTCGAATCATTTTCTGTCACAACACACGTTAAATTATATGGTAGAAACCACACATTACAGTATTGCAGAGAAATAACACGTTAATGTTTTCAGATCATCGTCATCACATTGTTTATATTGTATACACAGTCAGTCGTGTAGTAGTGCAGAGCTGGCGGTATTTTAATATCCAGAGGAGATTTTTTTACAAAAAAAGTGTCTGACTAATTATCCCACACACGGCAACCTAAATATTGATTTACGTTGAAATTGTACAATCTTACGTGTTTAGTATCTTTCTTTAGTGGGGAAAAATAGTCCATTACACTCAGAGCTGAGTAGATTATTTACAAATTGTAGTTCGTTACTAATTCCAAATTAGGGTACATGACAAAAATTGTAGTTACATCCATTACATTACACATTTTTGGTAATATAATCAGACTACTTTTTGATTAGGCCTAATTTTAGATTACTTTTGACCTAACTCGTTTATCACATTGATTTAAATAGCATAACCTTGTACCATATTGATGTAAAGAAAAAGATATATTCCATTTGTTGTTATTGACAACATAAAGCGCATCAAGGTTTCCCAAACTGGGGTTTGTAAAGGAACTGCAGGGGTTTCGTGAGTTTAATGAATAGCAAATAATTAATTAAATCATAAAAATGTCAAATTAAAATAAATCATTTGAAAATAAATTAATGGATAATTTGTGTAAATAATATGTAATCATGTGATCTATAAAAATTTAACTGTAGTGTGATTCTGATTATTTTCAAATGTAATTTAATCTAATTACAACTACTTAATTTTTGGAATCTGATTATGTAATCCATGATTACATGTAATCAGTTACTACCCAGCTCTGATTACACTGTACAAAATCATCTGAGGGAAATTTCACTCACAATTCAGATGCAATGGTGCCAATTAAATGAAAGGATCCGCTCAAAATACTATAGGTTTGCGATGCAATTTTCAAAGGTTTTTTTTTGTTTCATATAAATGCTGTTTTCTCCTCTTTTTTACTTAAAATGTAGTATTTCTTAACTTTTTGACACTTTTTGCTCCAATTCTCTATCAATAACTCATCGCCGCATACTCGTTGGTTAAAATGTGCAAAAACACTTGAAATCGTCACGAATTGCAATCCAAACAAGTCAAGACCAGGAAGGAGCCATTTACCGGATCATCAAGAACTTCAAGGAGAGAGGTTCGACTGCCCAAGAGTGTCCAGCAAGCGCCAGGACCGTCTTCTCCTGAGGAATCGGCTCTGGAATCGGGTCTCCAGCAGTGCAGAGCTTGCTCAGGAATGGCAGCAGAGAGACTTCTTCCAACGATCCATGAGCAATTTGGTGATGATCAGTGCATTTTCCAGCATGATGGAGCACCGTCACAAAGCAAGAGTGATAAAGAAAGTGGCTCGAAGATCATTACATTGAAATTTTGGATCCGTGGCCAGGAAACTCCCTGGATCTCAATCCCATAGAGAACCTGTGGTCAGTCCTCAAAAGGCGAGTGGACAAGCAGAAGCCCAAAAATTGTGATCAAATCCGAGAACTAATAAGGCAAGAATCCTGCAAACATGTCCGTGCGGGGCCCATGCTGGCTTTTTGCGGGCACAGTAGGCTAGGGCCAGCCCACACCAAACCTAAACAGGCCCAGTGCGGGCTTGCCCAGGCGAGGCCCACAGCTTTGGGCTCACCGCGGGCTCTCTGTGAGCAGCCCACACTAGCGGACTGCCCACATTAATCACATGATGGACCAGTGTGGGCCAGCCCGTTCGGGCCCAGATCAACTTTTGAATCCTTTGGACCCATGCAGGTTTTGTGTAGGCAGCCCTGTAATGCAACTAGGAGAATACAAACAACATTGACTGGCCATTTTTTAGCCACTCAATTGAACTGGAATGGATCAAAAGAGACCTTTTCAGAACATGTTGTTTCATATAGGCCAAGGATCCTCAAATCTGGCTCACAAGATCCACTTTCCTGCAGAGTTTAGTTCTAACCTTAATCAAACACACTTGAGCATGTCTTCAGGATCATTAAAAATCACAGGTGGGTGAGTTTGATCAAAGTTGGAGCTAAACTCTGCAGGAAAGTGGATCTCACGAGCCATATCTGAGGTGTAGCAGACATGAGCCTGTTAATAAGAATTTTGTGGGCAGTGTTCTTCCTTACCTCTAGGGGTGCTAGGGTGTTTTAGGTTTCCTTAAGTCAGTGGTTCTCAAACCTCTCCATGATTAACCCCCAGCAATGCGCATTTTGTATCTCTCCCTATATCTGACACACCCAATTTAGGGCTGTATCCGAAATCACCCCCCTATACCCTCATTCACTATTCCCTACATTAGTCCACTCATACAATTCACTTGAAAGAGTGAATGAAAACGAGTGAGTGAATTCGGACACTGAGTTCACCGGAAGGACTGCCTCTTTTGCATAGCTTGCTTGCTGTTAAATAATCATTTGAAACGGGCAGCTCCAGTAGTAAGATTAAAGGATTTATCTCAAACTCTGTCACATGTCATATAGATTTATTTTGTTGGAAATCTATATAAAAATGTATATGATATGTATGATATATACAGCTACATTGATATAAATCCCTGATTGTCCTCTGTCATTAAACTTACAGCAGAAGCTGTGTTTTTCCATTGTGTGACAGTTTTGTTGTGTGTGTTGTGTAGGATCATGCACTGGGCTCGTCGCATTGAACAGGAGATTGACAGAGTCTTGCAGCACATCAGCGGGGCTCAACAATTGAAAGGGGTAAGACTGTGTGTGTGTGTGTGTGTGTGGCTTTTCCAGTATCTCTGTCAAACGTGTGCTCATTACCGTGGGTCTGGCTTGCATGTCAAACACCCACAAACAATGAAGAACTCAGGCACTCCTGCAGAGTCTGTGCTGGAGAATATAATGATCCTGCCATTCCTCCACTTAGAGGCTACAGCGTCTGAATGCATCCTGAAGCTCTGTGTGTGCGTCTGCTCACATCACTGAGAGAGAACAGATGGTTCGCCCCTCATTCATTTACCCAGAATGCCACAGGGCTGTAGACAGAGCGCTTCACTGCTGCTGATGATCAATACAGGCATGTAACCAGCATGTTTGTAGATGCATTTGTAGCGAATCAGCTCAAAGGGGAAATATGAATAACTAGTTATAATTAATTAGAAATATTTAGATCCGCTGTAAGTATTTACTTGACATCTCAGTGTCAACTGTCTGTCAATTCTAAGAATGTTAATTTCCTGGTTAAGGAAAATAACTTTCTTACTGTACAATACTACTCAGAGCATGTAGCAAAAACCTGCATGATTAGGGACTCCAGTTATGAGCAAACAATGAACAACCTCAAGTTTAATACAAGACTTTATTAACTACATAAACACTTAAACTAGTCTAACATACACATACACACACACACGCATGCAGTTGGCATAGGAAAAAGCGTTAAAGCTTAAGCAGTAAAGAGAAGAGAAATAAAGACATGAAGCTATGGTACAATTTGATATTCAGCAGATCTACAGCCTGAAGGAAACATCAGTTTCTTAGTTCAAACACACCTTTGTAAAAGGTGCAAATGATACTTAATGTATCGATTAATAAGACTAAGTTTGATACTTGCACGTCTCGCCTGTTTGAAAGAGAGTCCTGATGCACTTTGGGGCTCCAGTAGGTTGGCTGAAGTTAGGTGATGAGAAAGGACCATTTTGAGTCAGAGGATCTTGATAAATGGAAAGACTAGGCCGAAGCCTGGTGCAGACTTAAGGGTTGCAGAAGAGTTTCTAGCTCACATCCTTATCTTTTCAGAAACTAACAGGACAGCAGACTGAAAGGCTATACAGGTGCATCTCAATAAATTAGAATGTAGTGGAAAAGTTCATAGTGCTGTATCCAAGCATGTTAACAGAAAATTGAGTGGAAGGAAAAAGTGTGGAAGAAAAAGATGCACAACCAACCGAGAGAACCGCAGCCTTATGAGGATTGTCCAGTGTTAAGTTTCCACAGTCTGTGATGATTTGGAGTGCAATCTGCTGGTGTTGGTCCAAGAGAATCACAATGCTGAAAAAGCATTTTCAGAAACAACGTTTGGATTTGAAATCAAAATAATGGATAAATGTTGTGTTTGTGGTAAACAGCCGCGGATCAGGAGCGGACTGCCAACACGTCCTGTGCGAAAGCAAAATGAGTCCGTGCTGCTTCTGCACCGCATACACATACTGTGTACGCACTGCAGACGGAGTACGTGTCAACTTGGCGCAACAAATCTAGTTCAGCATCTGAGGCAACGCCACAAAGAGCTCTATGACCAATGCATGGCAAATAAAAAAATCCCTGGACACGGGAATTTTTTTTCTTCTGCCATATGTCTATTCTAGAGACATTTTGTTACACCTTTACTTAGTGATTATTTTGCCTTATGTCTGTTCTAGAGACATATTACAGCTTTTTGATAAAGCTCTAATTGGTTTTCTTTTGGAAATATGTTTCAAATTCACACTGAATGCATTTATGACTGTAAAGCATGTCTGTGTGTGTCAAAATCGTGATTAAAATCAAAATAGCAAAATTGATCAAAGAAATTGCGATAGGCTTTTTTTGTCCATATCGCACAGCCCTAATGGAAATGCAGCTATTGTTGACTAAAACCAACCTTAAACTACTGTGGACAACTCACAGAAATCCTGTGAATAAAACTAAACCTAAAAAACTAAATGAAAGTAGCAAATTGAACTTAAAACTGGAAAAACAAAAATTTTAAATTTGTTTTTATTCTGGCTCAGAACCAACATGCAGAATGGAAAATAGTGGCGTGCAAATTGCATTCGGTTCTCATTTTGTGCTGTTATCGCATTTGCGTATTTAAAATTTGAGACCCAAAACAACGCAAAAAGATAAACATTGCTAAATAAATGCTGAGTCTCGCTTCAACCAGCAGGACTAGATTTGATTGTGTAATCTTAGGCTATAATATTGATTGATTGATTGATTTTTTTTCTTCGTAATAACAAGTTCATGGGCGTCATCTTGACTCACTGTCTTGCTTTAAATGCTGTGTCTGAAAGTTGAAGTTGTCAGTGTGTAAGTGAGCATGTGTTTGATGTTGCTGTATTGAGCTGAGCTCTAAACAGCTCTTGTTCTGGACTCAGAGGTTATTTACCGGGGTAATGAGGCTTCAGTCTTCAGTCACGCCGCTGGATTTCAGCAGCTGTTGTCTCACACTGGAGCACAAACACTCATTTACACAAGGTGGAATCCCTGCAAAATGAGTTTATTTTGAGTGCATCACATCTGACAGGAATGTTTCTCAGCGATGAGCATTAATAATGCAAAACACAGACATGCAGCTCAGTCACGGTTTCCCCCAGCTGATGAATCCTCTTGATAGTATATAAATATATTTAGCACCATCAAGAGGATATACAGTACCATTAAAAGTTTGGGGTAAGATATTTTTAAGTAATAATTCTAGTTAGCAAGGATGCATTAAATTGATTGAAAGTGACTGTTATAATGTTACAAAAGATTTCCTTTTTTTTTTTTAAATCAATGCTGTTCTTTTGAACTTTCTATTGATCAAAAAATGCTAAAAAAAATTATAATCAGAAATTTTCTTTAGCAGCAAATCGGCATATTAGAATAATGTCTGAAGGATCATGTGACACTGGAGACTGGAGCAATGATGCTGAAAAATTCAGCTTTGCATCACAGGAATAGATTATAATTTAAAAATATATTCAAATAGAAAACAGCTATTTTAAATTGTAATAATATTTCACGATATTACTGTTTTGAACGGTAGTAGTGTATATATATGATCAAGAGAATGCTATGCTGTTTCAGATCTACGGTGAGAAGAGAAGACAGTTCAGTTTGGTCAGAAATAACCCTCGAGAAATTGTAGAGAAAGTTGCGACTGACATCGAGAGACTGCTGGCCAAGAAACGCAAAGCACTTGAGGTGAGAAAACATACAAAATCACACATGCTCTTGCTTAAAGACTATTTTTAACAGTTCTGGTTCGTATTTTCTGCCAGAAACTTGCGAGTGAAGCGGAGCGTCTTCAGAAAGATCATCGGTGGCAGGATGGAATCAAGGTCAGACGACTTTAACAGCACCACTTTATGTTTTTTACATTCACTTATGTGCATTTCGCAATACTTTTCACTCAGTTTGAAATTTCATTTATCACATTGCTTTTGCATGTGTGAGAGAGTCATCCGAGTCGATTCAGACCAATGACTCCTGTGTTGTTTTAACTGATTCATTAAAATGAACCGCACCGATCGAGCGTTTCATTCTTGAATCGAAAGCTGCGCTTTTTTTTTCATCTGCGATACTTGAGGCTCTTTTTCCTCTGACATTCACATCTATGTTTCTCTGATCCAAATACGAGCTTTACAGACAAACACAATATGTGAGTCATATTTCTGTGAGTCTGTAGCTGGAGGGTCTGTTTAAACCCAATAGATTGTGACGTCTCGTTTTTCTGACTGATTTGACTCATTAGAGCTGTTCAGCTCAACTGGCAGCACGAGTGAATTGTGCTGAACTAAGAGTTTGTCATGTGGAGGACATCTGTATTTGAATCTTCAGGTTCTCGAACTGATCTTAAACAGCAGATTTTTGTATCTCTGTTCTGTGTGTGTTTATTTCAGGAGGAAAATATTGAATATTATAACTCTAAAGCAGAGATGGACTATGTGAGTACATGTCTATCAATTGCCCATGAGAACAACATATAAAAAATCTTGTATTAGTAGACTTTCAATGTAGATTTAATGTAGTGGGCCTGTGAACTATTTTAAGAAAAGCATATGTAATGTAAAGGAAAATGATGCTTTCTTGTTATGTTAATAGGAAATATTCATACATTCATACACCATTTGTTTTTAGAAGCTGGTTGCTTGAACTCCTAAACTACTATTTTGCATGTTCATTTATCACCATATGACAATAATTCGGAATAAAGATCGGACTCAAGCTGAAACAATGGACTCTGATTATATCATGATTCTCATCAGGACGGTGAGGACATTGATTCCCAGATGTCATTGAAACTGGATTTTATGTATGATCCAAACTTCAAAAACCATGTGAACTACTCACACACCGCTGTCCAGATCCCCACAGACATCTACAAAGGCGGTGAGGAACCAGACTGATGCTATTAGATCTCTGTATGAGTCAATGAGAGTTCATGACGTGTCTGTCTGTCTGTAGCTCCGGTGATTCTGAACGAGCTGAACTGGACGCAAGCGTTAGAGCGAGTCTTTATAGAGAACAGCAGAGACGACCCGTCGTTGCTCTGGCAAGCATTTGGAAGCGCCACCGGTGTCACGAGATATTATCCAGGTAACCATCTGATCGACATGTACTGAGGCAGAGCATAGTTTGTTTTGTGTAAATTGTGAAACCAACCAATCGGATTGCAGCCTGAGACCACATATGTCCCAAATAAGTAACATATTTTGTTTTGTAGCTGCTCCCTGGAAAGCGCCGGATAAGATTGACCTTTATGATGTACGACGACGACCCTGGTAATACATTTCCTGTATCTTTTGAGTGTTTAAATCCTTTCTCTTTCAGTGAACCTGTAACTATGTTTGGAGACATCCAATCAGAAGCCAAACTGGCCAGTTAACCTACAGTAAATCAACTTTTTTGTCCATAGTCTACATCTGTAGAAACTGTTGATAGCCTTTGATTGGTCAGTTTAGGTCTGAGGGCGGGGCTTAACGGATCTTAATAATACTTAAAATTGTCGTTGTTTTCCTCAGGTACATTCAAGGAGCATCCTCGCCCAAAGATATGGTCATCCTCGTAGACGTGTGAGTATTTGTGTGTGCTGTTGTGAGCTGCGCATTTGCCTGGTTTTGTTTAAAATTTACATTTTTCCGTTCACAGGAGCGGCAGTGTCAGTGGACTTACTCTCAAACTGATCAAAGCTTCGGTCACAGAGATGCTCGACACACTCTCCGACGATGATTTCGTCAATGTGGCCAGGGTCAGTCAGCTACTTCTGATTGTTGGATTTTTAAAGTAGCTTTCATTTGATAGCCCAATTTGGCAAAAATTATGAGGAAACGATAGCAGACGGAGGACTTGGTTTTCAAGTGAAATGTAAAAGTAAATTAAAAGACCGCTTCTTAAACCAGAGAAGGTGAACATGTTGGTTGTCTTGGCATAAAAAAAAAACTCACTAGCACTGTCACTGAAAGCCAATTTAGTATTACTCTTCTTTGTTTTCGTTTTGAATAGTTTGTTGTCTTTGCTGTTTACCTGACGTTATGCTACGGAGGCTCTTTTATTTATTAATTTATTTATTTATTTAATTCCACAGTGTTTGCTAAACTTTCTGTGATTTATTTGTCAATATATAGGCTAATACAGCATGTGATGTATGCCTCGTCTTATTAGTTTTTATTTATAAATGTTATATTAGTTAGTTTGTCGTTGCACTGTTTTATTGTTGTTGTGCTTTCCATTAACAATAATAATGAATCCATCTTTCAAGTATTCATTTTAGTCTTATAAAGTGTAAAGGTGGAAGCACAACAATTATCTTTTGTTGTAAAACGTGATACCAAGATTACGAATTTGAAAGCGAAAAAGTGAAAGCGTACAAAGCCCCGCCTCCCCGGTGTAATACCGGTTTTGACGCAAGTTGATATACCAGTGTGAAAATCTCCACACCATCACAGAAAAGGTCAGGAAAAGTGCATCGTCCGTTGACAAAACAGACACTTTTGGTAATCGGCTGATAAATTATTATAAAATATTCTCTAAATATTTGCACATATAATGGAATAAAAATGCTATAATTAAGGTCAAATATGTTAGTTACATTATGTATAATCACTTTGTTCATTTATTTGAATTTGTGAACCTGCACATTTACATTTTCTCTCTCTTTCTGTCGTAGTTCAATGAGAAGGCCGAGGCGGTGGTGCCCTGCTTTAAACACCTGGTTCAAGCGAATGTGCGCAATAAGAAGATCTTTAAAGAGGCTGTGCAGCAGATGCAGGCCAAAGGAACCACCGATTACAAATCCGGCTTTCACTTTGCCTTCAACCAGCTGCTCAACGTGAGTCTGAACACAATGTACACATCAAATCAATCAACAAAATTTGTTGCGTAATATGCAGGTTACATTCAGAAACTTACAGTGGAAGGGAAGGAAGGAAAGGAAGTGTGGCCTAGAATGGTGACCCATAGTTGGAATTTGTGCTCTGCATTTACTCATCCAAGTGCACACATACAGCAGTGAGGAGTGAACAAACATCTACAATCCCTGCCGGTGCTGAGACTCAAACCCACAACCTTTTGGTTACAAGTTCTACCCTCTAGCCATTAAGCCATGACTGTGAATGGAGCTAATTTGTAAACATGAAAATACAATAGTATAGCCATAATATAAGTATTATCATGATATTAGTGCAGCAAAACCACTTACTAAGCTTTTCTGTGTAGTTATATCCATTTTTATAAACTTCATTGCCATAACGAATTGCCATAAACTCTAAAACAATTGTAAAATTAATAATTTAATGCCTTTAAAATCTGCATCAGAGTCAGTTTTGACATGGTGTAACTTAACCTTGTAAAACATCCATAACTTAGTAATTTCACACTAAAACCATATAGTACCTGATTCGTAACATGCAAATATGCATAACATCACATGTAAAGCCTAAGGCTGATGATACACGGGGCAACTTTTTAAGCAATGCTGCTGGGCAACTTTGGGAAATATTGCCGTCAATGAGCAACCAGGTGAGACACAGGGCCCACGACTGATCTAAAATATCCAGATAGAAATGTGTTACCCATTCTCAATGGGAAAGTGCCCAAGCAACATTGCTCAAAAAAGTTCAAATAATACACAAGCTGAAACAGAAGAATTAATATAAGTGCTTTCTTAAAGTATAATCATCAATGTTTTGATTTTAAATCCTCCAAAAATTGCCCCATAATTTCCAACGTTACATTTTTTTGAAGACAAAAGGAATGATTACCACAAAAAAATAAAAAATTATTTGATTGGTAATCAACACATTCCCACACGAGGCAGATTGTGCTTCACTTGTATTGAACCTGAAATATTCCTCTAAAATACACCTACATGTAGCAGGAATTTGGACCAATGATATTTCTTTGTGGGCGGAGCTACCAAGCTTGATGCAGTAGAAATATAAACCAGGTCACAAGAAAAACCACAGCTCATTTGATTAAAGAAAAGTCGTGATTTATTTCTTTGCTCTTTTGCTTCAGACGTATTATTCTAATCTTCTCTCGCTCTGTTTCTCGTTCTCAAACAGAAGACGAATGTTCCTCGAGCCAACTGTAATAAAATCATCATGTTATTTACTGACGGAGGGGAGGACCGAGCTCAGGACATCTTTGAGCAGTACAACTGGCCCAATAAGACGGTCTGATACCATTCACATGACACAATATGATTTATATCTTCATTCTCTGTTGAGCGTCTTGTATTTCTGGTGTGCTGTTGTCCTCTGGAAGTGTTTGTTCATTATAATTAGCCCTTTCCTCCAGCGAAACCGCTCGTTTCCTGTCTAATTTGCCGGGGTAATTGTGGGATATGTGATGGTCTCTGCAGGTCCGTGTGTTCACGTTCTCGGTGGGGCAGCACAATTATGATGTCACTCCGCTGCAGTGGATCGCATGTGCTAATAAGGGTGAGACACATGCTCATTCAGAGGAGATGCATTAAAATGAAAAAAATCTGCCTGTAATGTGAAGATATAAGTTGACTTATATGGTGATGCATGTTGAACTGTACAGAAATTACATGTGACATCTCATCGAGCGTCTCTCTGTCTTGGCAGGATACTATTTTGAGATCCGCTCCATCTGTGCTATAAGGATTAACACCCAGGTGAGTTACACACACACACGCACACACACATTAATATTGGCGATATAAAATTGAAGCAGCATTGTCAATATTCACTCGATTTTCAAATTTAATGTAACTATTTACCTGATTGTTTGGTGTCGCGCTGCTCACAAATATAAGGTGCTTCATTTGTATGATTCGAATTTCAGGAGCAAAAACAACAATTGAGCTTGTATGTCTGATTTATTTCTGTGAGTCAATCACAGAAAATATCAATATTAGTTATTAGTATGTATTTTTATATTGATACATATAATTAATTCAATTATAATTTCTATTGAAATTCAATATTCTTCCTTGTATTCATTTAGTAATTAAAAAAAGTGAAAAAAACCTTGGCTGGATTATTTTAACCAAATTTTTTACTGTATTTTTTTTTTTTTGTTATGTGCTATACATTTTTAATTTGTGGTTCCTCTGAATGAAAAAAGCAAACATTAATTCAGAGAAAATATGTAGGCCTAAATATTGAAAAATTCAATATAGAAATTATCAGAAATTATCAATATATATATTAGATTTTTGCCAAACACAAATGGCGTATTAATGAAAGGTAAAATGCTTAAATGAATGTGTGCGGCAGGAATATCTGGACGTGTTGGGCCGCCCCATGGTTCTGGCAGGAAGAAGTGCCAAGCAGGTGCAATGGACCAACGTCTATCAGGACGTGCTGGTGAGAGTCGCTTCACCGCCTGCTGTGTGTGAAACATACGGCCCGCTCTGGTTTCGTCATACTCTGATGACTCATAAAGCATTGTGAGTTTATTGAGTTTGTGTGATGTGGTTCATTTACAGGGTCTGGGGCTGGTGGTGACGGGGACGATGCCGGTGTTCAACCTCACTGTGGACGGAAACTCTCAGGTGATGCTCAGTCACTGATGGATCGGCACTGACTATGAACTCTGTTGTGTTCATATCATTGATGTCAGTGTTTGTGTGTTCAGAATCAGCTGATTTTAGGGGTGATGGGAGTCGATGTTCATCTGGATGAGCTGAAGAGACTCACGCCACAATACAAGGTGAACTTTATCACATTGAAAAACCTGTGATTGTTACATTGAGCTACTTGAACATTTTCATTGTCAGATTTTGTGTGGCATACAGATTTTGTGAGTAAATGTTGTTATAATTTATGCTATTTGTTAAATTTGTTAAAAACATTAATATTTAATTTATTTATTATAAGCAATTTTGTATATGTTTTATATCCTATCATTGATTTATATTATTTATTGTCATAATATTATATTGTCAATAAAGTTATTGACTACTGAAAAACTCATTTTTTAATGCTAGTACTTTATCCCTCCACTAAAGGAAAGAAAGAAAAAAAGAAAGAAAGAGAAAACATTCTCACAGACTCTCTTTTTCTTTCTCTATGTGTAGCTGGGAGCAAACGGATACATCTTCGCCATTGACCCAAATGGATACGTGCTGATGCATCCGAACCTGCAGCCTCGAGTGAGACTCTGATTCTTCATCTGCTCCATCAGAAATCACAGCACAATCACACTTATTTGTGTTTTATATGATTTCTTTGTCATGAAAATAATGCCACACCAGCCCATTTTTGTATTTCATATTATTTTGGGCATGCAATATTACCCAGACATGTTCTAGACAGGTTTTGTGAGATTCAACGTACTCATGATTGTTTGTTTGTCCCAGTGTTATTTTAGTATCATTTATGCACAATTATAGTTTTTAAATTAATATTTTGAATTAGGTTTTATTTTTAAATTTTATGTTTTTTACTTTGAGTTAAAATTTTGTAATGCTGTCAAAATTAGCACGTTAACACAGGCGATTAATTTTTCCAGTAAAAAATATTCAACGCAGTTAACGCAGGGGCGGACGAGGAGCTTTAGTAGAACAACGGTGAATTATGGTCAGATGAGATGTTTTCAGGTCATATGTCAGTATGTCAGTAAAAACGAATTTTCCTGTCCTGTTAGCTGTTATTCTGTGCTCGTAGCGTGTGCTCTTCAATTGCACGCACAAACACGGCAGAGCACACTGTAGCCTGTGTCATTTCATATTAAAGTGCATGATCCACAGATCCACATTACGTTCAGAAGCAGCAGCTCTTAAAGTAATAAGCTAAAGCTATAAACTAAGCCAAATAACCTAATAACCCGGCTGCTGTGATGTCTGTTAATCAAAGAACAAAAGATATATATATATATATATATATATATTTATTTATTTTTATTTATTTATTTTTTTTTCTTTTCCCAGTTTCTGTTAACGGTAATAACCCTGATTTATCCTGATTGCAGGAGGAGGATTTGCCAGAGCCGGTGACGCTGGACTTCCTGGATGCTGAAGTAGAAGACAGCAGCACACAGGAGGTACAATCTTCACTAACCTGAAGTGCTGATTGTCCTCATTGAACTCTTTCTCTGTTGTTCATAACAAATGAATTATTGTTTTCAGTGTGGGTGGCACCGGCACACTCACTTCATGTGTTAAATATGACGTTTGGCTGAATCAGTTTCTATTAAATCAGCAGAAGCTCATGGATAAGTTTTAACATCTGCTTTCTGTCTTTTCTAGATTCGCCGGCAAATGATTGATGGCCGATCAGGAGAGATGATGATCAAAACTCTAATTAAATCAATTGACGAGGCAAGTGTGTGTGCGATTAATGTGGCAGATGAAACTAGGACATGTGTGATATCTGGGACATGACTTTCTATAAATGGCTCAAAATTACTTTTTTATTTTTTTATTTTCCATGTGTACGACCCTGATGTCACTGATTGGCTGTATCCCAATTTGCATAATTGCATTACAGGCTAAATATGTAACACATATACTCCAGTTTTGACATAAAAAAATCTTAATGCTACAAATGAATTTATTTGCGTGTTTGCATGAAAAGTGTGGCATGAAACAGATTTGGAGAAATGTAGCATTACATCACTTGCTCACCATCCATTTCTGTATATTTCCTACTTGCTGAAGGGCACAGGAAGCTAAATATGACACTTATTATGATGGGTTTATGTGAAGATTGTTTTAAGTTCACTTAAATTAGAAGTTGTTATTTTTTAAGGTCTAATAAATGTTTAAATTGACAGCTCTCAATTATACTGTTATGTTGAATGGCTAGAGTCAGTGGTTAAATATTGTGTTTTTGTCATTTTTATTATTTTTAAATTAATAAAACTTAATTTTTTTATTAAATTAAATTTTTTGACATAAAAAAATCTTAATGCTACAAATGAATTTATTTGCGTGTTTGCATGAAAAGTGTGGCATGAAACAGATTTGGAGAAATGTAGCATTACATCACTTGCTCACCAATGGATCCTCTGCAGTGAATGGGTGCCATCAGAATGAGAGTCCAAACAGCTGATAAAAACATCACAATAATCCACAAGTAATACATACGACTCCAGTCCATCAGTTAACATCTTGTGAAGCGAAAAGCTGCATGTTTATTAGAAACAAATCCCAAATCCATCATTAAGATGTTTTTTTTATCTTCAAACCATTATTTCTGGCTAAAATAAAAGTCCCTTATCCATAATATTGTTTTCTCCAATGAAACAATCGAACCGTTTACAAGTAAACAACAGACCAAAACAGATCTAAACAAATATTCTGGTGGATTTTGATGCAAAGGGACAACAGGGGATGGACTTTTTCACTTGAGGAATCGTTATTATGGATTATGGACTTGTATTTTGACAGTTTAAAGTTAAAATGATGGATTTGTTTCTTACAAACATGCAGCTTTTCACTTCACAAGACATTAATTGATTGACTGGAGCCTTTGAATTACTTGTGGATTATTGTGATGTTTTTATCAGCTGTTTGGACTCTGATTTTATTATTAATAGTAGTAGTATCTTTACATTAAGTAATATTTCAGTCACAGTTTCTTCAAGTTAAACCAAACTTTTATTGTGACGGTTTACTGTGAAGACCTTTGAGTTTCTCTTTGTATATGAATGGTAAAATCCTCATGAGGTGACTTTCAGAGCAGTTCTAGAGAAACGAAACCACACGTCTGCGCCATTCATTCATCAGAGACAAACAGAACTTGCAGGATTCATATTTTTGCGGCTTAATATTCACAGACACTAGTCTATGTTGCATTTTGATTTTGCTGTACTAACCCTCGTTTGATGTATCCATTCAAAATTTGCCAAATTCCGTGACATTCCGCGCTATACAGTAAATTCTGTTTTTATGACTAGATTCCGCCTGCGTTTTACGCATCGTGGAAATTGTAGGGCCCTATGTAATGCTACTTTTCTCCAAATCTGTTCCCATGAAGAACATTTTCGAAATCGAGCAAGAATAGTGCAGGGATCTATGCATTTTCTGCTACATCGTAAGAAATGTTCAAATTTTTGCTTGAAAATGTCTGATAATTAAATGTTTTCCTGCAGCGCTACATTGACGAGGTCACGCGTATGTACTCCTGGACGCCCATTAACAACACTGATTACAGGTACGAGTCGATTAAACAGTTCAGATCGTCCAGTTTGACGTTAAAACATGCTAAACTCATGGTTTGTTTTCATGTGCCGCCCCCTGCAGTCTGGGTCTGGTACTTCCTCCATACAGTGAATATTACATCCAGGCTGATCTCAGCGATGTCATGCTGCAGCTGCAGTGTGAGTCTTTCATTTAATACGGATGATGATGTTTTGTGTGAGATTAGTGATGTTGATGTTTCATCCTAAATAATCTCTCCTGCGTTTCTCTCAGATTTACAGTCCCTGCTGCCGAACTCGTTTGAGTCGGCTGGTCACGTGTTTCTAGCTCCCAGGTACACACATACATTTATCCATTATGATATTTCCTCTGGTAAATGTTTGAGATATTGTGTGTTTTGTGTAAATGTGTGGTCGTTCAATCTCTTTATTTCTCTCTGTAATATATATAGAGAATACTGCAAGCGTCTGCAGATGGCTGAGAATAACACACAGTTCCTGGCGGACTTCCTGTCTCTGATGGTGGAGATCTCACCTGAATCTGAAGACTGTGAGTAACGTTCACCTCTAGACCACACCAGCGTTGAATATTACATGTTGCAGCGATAATCATTCAGTTTTAAGCAATAGTTATTCAATATTATAGCAGCAATTTTGTGGTTCTGATGAAATATTACAGCATTTATTATGAAATCTTACAGCTCTATTTAAATATTAAAATATTGATTAATAATTATTTCAGCATGCATTACTAAAGCATTAGAGTTGAGAAATATTTCAGCTTTAGTTACTAAATGTACAGTTCTACTTAATATTACAATAGTGATTTATAAATATTTCAATCTAATTTCAAATTTTTTATTACAATATTGGTAATAAACATTACAGCATTCATTACTAAATATTGCACTAGTTATATTACAGAATTGATTAATAATTATTCCAGTATTACTTATTCAATTTTACTGTTTTAATTATATTACAGTATTGATGAATAAATATTACAGCATTCATTGCTAAATACTACAGCACTAGTTATATTTTATTACAAAATCTATTAATAAATATTTAAATGTTGATTATTAAATACTAATAATTGTATATTACAGCACTGATTATGTGATATTACAACTCTTAACTAAATATTTCTGCACTTCAATATTATAATCTAAATATTAAACCATTGATAATCCAGTCACAATTTTTAATTAAAAACAAATATAATATGCAGTATTGATTGTGAAATATTTTATCTCTTATAATTAGATTGTTACGGAAGAGGTCTGACACAACAGGTTAGTTTAATACAAAACAGTTTATTTCAAGGGCACTTGGGATGAGGGGAAGAGGATATCGGAACTTGACGGTGATGTTATTTAGTGCTCGGTAATCTATACAGGGCCTCAAACCTCCGTCCTTCTTGGCCACGAAGAAGCTCGATGCAGCAGGGGAATTAGATGGACGGATGTAACCTTGACCCAGCGCCTCCTTGATGTATTCCTCCATGGCCTTCTGCTCAGGAAGCGATAGGGAATAGACCTTTCCACGAGGCACTGGCTCACCCGGAATGAGATCGATGGCGCAGTCCCCTGGCCGATGTGGTGGTAAGCGGGAGGCTTGTTTGGGGCAGAACACGTCTCTGAAGGGGGCATAGCAGGCTGGAATTTCTAAGGATTGCTTCTCGATGGGACTCTCAATGGAGGTGGAATTCACTGAAAGGGCCTCGGGAAGTTTCTTCGGAGGAGAGGGAGTCCCGGGGAAGCAGTCTGGGAAGCAATCCTTGCCCCACTTCAGGACTTCTCCCGTCTTCCAGGACAGAATGGGATTGTGCTTTACCAACCACGGGCGCCCTAAGATGATGTCCGCAGTAGACCCCTCCAGAACCAGAAGATGGATGTCCTCCAAGTGAAGGAGGCCCAGATGAAGAGTGATGGGTCCCACGCGGTAGCGAACATGTCTGCGGCATAGTGGTGTTCCAGTTATCGACTGGACTTGGTAAACTGTTTCCGTGGCGGTAGCCTGGAGTTTGAGCTGGCGGCAGAGGTCCCGGAAGATGAAGTTTCAGATGAAGTTTCCCGCTGACCCGGAGTCGATAAGGGCTGATACTGAAATAGAGACATCAGAGGCAGTAAGCATTACACAGGTAGTGAGGGGCTCCATCTTAATAATATCAGGTTGAATCACACTCACCACGGGACGTGGAGGGCGCAGGGGGCATGCCAAGATCTTATGCCCCGGAGCTCCACAGTATAAACAGAGACCCCGGGTCAGCCTTCTCTGCCGCTCAGCGGAAGATAATCGTTGCTTTTCCAGGATCATGGGTTCGGGTGCTGGTTCTGGAGGATAACTGGGCTCTGGTCAGCGGAGGCAGGAGGTTGTGACGTGGACGGGTATGGCTGCTAGACAGGACTGCATGCGGCTCGAGCATCGGATGGACAGTGGAATGAACTTTTCCAATCTAAACGAATCATCATAGGCAGCGAGCTGTAACCGAAGCTGGGGTTCCAGCCCCTGTCTGTAGGTGGTCAGTAGCGCTCTCTCATTCCATCCACTCACCGCAGCGAGAGTTCTGAACTTCAGCGAGTATTCGGCAATTGACATGGTACCCTGTTGTAAATGATAGAGTTGCTCTCCCACAGCGGCATCTCCGTCTGTCCTTCCAAACACCTCGCGAAAATGCACCAGGAAGTTCTGCAGATCTTGAATGACGGGGCTGGCCTGAGCCCAGATCGTTTCCGCCCATTGCAGTGCAGGTCCTGTTAGCAGGGAGATAATAAAAGCAATTTTAGAGGTGTCTGTGGGATATGAGTGCGGTTGCATCTTGAAAGTGAGATTGCACTGGAGGAGAAATCCATTGCACTCCTCCGCCGAACCAGAGTAGGGCGCCGGTCGAGCCATGGGACTAGCGATGATGGTAGGCGAAGAAGTGCTGGTTGGGATGGATGAGGTGATGGGTGGTGATGGCGGCGGTGCCGGTGGATTGCGTAGCACTCGTCGTAGTGAGTCTACGAGCTCCTGGAAGGGATCAGGGTGACTAATCTGTGCCGTCGGTGTTGGTCCGGTCTTCTGTTATGGAAGAGGTCTGACACAACAGGTTAGTTTAATACAAAACAGTTTAAGTAGCAAAGTCATTGAGTCCTCTACGTGTATACGAGACCGGACAGTGAGGGTGTCTGAGGTGTGTGCTTTTATGCAGGCTGGTAATGAGGTGCTTGATTGGTGACAGGTGCAGGTGCTCAGAACTCAGGTGAGAGGGATCGCTGTGATTGGGTGGTGGCGGAGCCTGGCCGATCCGTTACATAGATATTACAGAGCTGATTTTTAGATTTTTTTTTTTATATCACCCATAATGACAGTATTATATTGGCAAAAACTAATTACAGCAGTCATAATGAACGAATAAATCATCATGAGCTTAAAATTAAATTTGAATAATTTAATAATTTTACATTCTCATTATGTGAAATGTGAAGATACCACACACGGATGAATTTAGGGAAATGTTTCTCTCCAATCATGAATCTTTCAGTGAACTGTGAGAAGCGTCTGACTGAATGTTTTGTAATGTGCTTACAGGTGATCAGGGTCTCATTCATAACCTGATCTTGGATTCTGGGATCCTCTGGAATCTCGCCACACGCGTTTGGCAGAACAAGGATCTCAACACGTAAGATCAGACCCGTCACAGTCTGTTGATTTACTGTATTAACTGGATTCAGATATTGATTGGACAGTCTGATCTCTGCAGGTACGGCTTCCTGGCGCTGTTCGCATCCACCAATGGAGGCGTCACGCGCGTTTACCCCAACACGTGAGTGACGGAGCTTCTGACTCGGCTAATGTTCACTCGATTACAATTAGCTTAATCGTCATATGTTTGTGTGTGTGTTTCAGAGCTGCTGAATCATGGGACGAGGATCCTGAACCTCTGAACTCAAACTTCTTCCGCCGCACTCTGGACAACAAAGGCTACATCTTCAGAGCGCCAGCGCGAACCTGTGAGACCTCATCTGAACCAAGAAATCACAAACAATAATAGAATTAATAAGTGATTAGCATTAAGTCAGCTGCAAAATGTATCAACAACTGTAACAGCATTGATTGCTAAATATTACAGCATTAATTATTAAGCTTGAATTAGTACAATATTAATTACTAAAAATTAGAGCATTGATTTTTAAATATTACAGCTCTAATTAAATATAATGTTGATTAAGAAATATTTCAGCATTCATTATAAATATTACAGCTGTTCTTCAATTATTATAATATTAATTACTAAATATTACATCTTTAATTACTAATTTTTTAATATTAAAATATTGATAAATACATATTTCTGTATTTATTACTAAATGTTACAGCATTCATTGCTAAATATTACAGCTTTTCTTTAATTATTACTTTATTACCTAATATTACAGCATTGATTACTAATTTTTACAGCTGTAATTTAATAAATTGGAGCATTGATTAATAAATATTACAGTATTGATTACTAAACATTACATTTCTAACTGAATATTATAGCTGTATTTATGTATTTTAATATTGGTTAATAATAGTTATAAAAATATGTATTACTAAATATTCCAGATTAATAAATTAATATTACACCATGGATGAATTAATATTTCAAGATCATTACTAAATATTACAGCCAACAATTAAATATAATAGCTTTGATTACTAAATATTGCCTTGTAATGAATTATTACAGAGCTGATTTTTCTATTACAGGACCCATCATGAAATAACAGTATTATGTTGGCAATAACTAATCACAGCAGCCATAATGAAATAATGTTGTTGTTGTTGTTGTTTTTTGGCAATCATTAAATGGCATATTATATACCAGGCACCCCATATTGGTCAACCACTGTTGTAAAATTAATAAGATTACATCAACATGAAGTAATTGACAGGAACATATGTTAAGAAAGTAAATAAAAGAAAGTATCATTTTGATCTCATGTTGACTTTATACATTAATATGTGTGATATTCATCCCTGTATGAAAGCTTTTCACCGTTTTAATGTCTCTGATATTTGTGTTTAGCAGTGGATGATCTGTTAATCTCAGAGAACGGCACTGTGGGGATTTTGGTCACCAGCGCCGTGGAGGTCGTGATCTCAGGCAAAACCATGAAGCCTGCAGGTGTGTTTCTCTGAAACAGCATGTTTGTGTCCTTTCCTCTTTGATAAGCCTAAGGTTCAAATCCCTTTAGAAGCGATTCTGTGGTCTGTCCCTGGCTTTTTTCATCTTGTGTTCCTGTTATTAGTGGTTGGAGTTAAGCTGGATTTGGAGGCCTGGGTCGACAAGTTCAAGATACTCGCCAGCAACGTATCAGACAGCAGACAGGCCGCTCATAAGGTACGATTGTTTGGAAAAACTGTAATAATGGAAGAAAAACATCCTCTTCTAACATCATATTCATCTGTATGGGCATGAGTGTAGTGACATATCATAACTTCCTGTTTGTGTTGTGCAGTGCGGCCCCTCCAGATCCTGTGAGATGGACTGTGAAGTGAACAGCGATGTGAGAGAACCTGCACACACAAGCTCTGCATGATAACAGATCATTGTGTTAGTTGATCTGGTCTTGAATGTAGGTGTTATTATGTTTCAGGATTTGTTGTGTTACCTGATTGATGACGGAGGTTTCCTGGTGATGTCCAATCAGAGAGACCACTGGAAGAAGGTGGATGTTCAGAAACACCAAAAATAATGTCACATGAAATCATTCAAATTAAATTTAAATTAGTCTTAAATACACAAAAAAATCTGAGTTTGTTGGTCTTTATGTCCACGTCTGTCTCAGGTGGGTCTGTTCTTCGGCGAGGTCGACCCCTACCTGATGTTCGCCCTCTACAACAGCTCAATCTACGCCCGTCATCAGACCTTCCAGTATCAGTCAGCCTGTGAGCCGACAGCCAGCAGCCACACGGGAGCTGCGCACAGAGGATTCTATGTGGTGAGAAACCGATTAGTTCATGGAGAACCATCACATTGATGTTAAATTATTTATGGTGCTACAGTTAAATTCTCCTTCTAGGAAAACCCATAAAGTATTTTGAAATTAAACGTGTGTTTTATTCTCTTTAGCCCTCCATTGCTGATTTTCTCAGTCTGGCCTGGTGGACGTCAGCAGCGGCGTGGTAAATACCTCTACACTATTTTTAAAAATGTCCCCTGTTGGTTGTTACGACAACATTTAGTAGACATTTGTAACATCAAACATATCTGGTTTCATACCCTAATAATGTTTATTCAGATACTCGTGTGTTATTTTTTCTGGTTTCTTTCAGGTCTGTCCTGCAGCAGTTCCTGTATGGACTCATCTACAGCAGCTGGTTCACCACAGGTTTGACACATCTTCCTTGAAAAAAAAAAACATCTTAAACCAGTCAGGCTGTTTTTCTGGTTTCATAGGCCACTCTTCAGCTGTTCAGGCTGGGAGACCAGCTTAAACCAGTTAAGACTAGCTTAGGCTGGTTTAAGATGTTGTTGTTTTGTTTTTTTAGCAGGATCTTCCAAGACAGCATTCTAACCATAATTCAACAGTGCACAATCACACAAATAACATAACAATAAACGGTTAGTTCACCCAAAAATGAAAATTCTGTCATTAATTATTCACCCTCATGTTGTTTCAAACCCGTAAGGCCTTTGTTCATCTTCTGAACACAAATTAAGATATTTTGGATGAAATCCGAGAGCTTTCTGACCCTGCATAGACAACAACACAACTACCGCGGTTAAGGCACAGGAACGTAGTAAGTATTAAGGAGTAAGGAGGTTAAAATAGTCTTTGTGACATCAGTGGTTCAACTGTAATTGTATGACGCTACAAGAGCACTTCTTTTTGCGCAAAGAACACAAAAACAATGACTATATAAAGTAAAATAAAGTCGTTATTTTTGTTTTCTTTGCATACAAAAAGTATTCTCGTAGCTTCATAAAATTACGGTTGAACCACTGATGTCACACTGATGTGACTATTTTAATGATGTCCTTACTACCTTTCTGGGCCTTAAAAGTGGTAGTTGCGTTGCTGTCTATGCAGGGTCAGAAAGCTCTCAGATTTCATCAAAAATATCTTAATTTGTGTTCCAAAGATGAACGAAGGTCTTACAGGTTTGGAATGACGTGAAGGTGAGTAATTAATGACAGTTCACCCAAAATTCTATCCCTTTAACATGTTGCTAAACTAATGAGCCAATACTCCAAACTCAATAAATATACAGTGCATACATTTTAATTAGACATTTTCTGTCGATACTTCCTAAAATACATTTATAAATTAGCTTTGAGCATTCTGGGATTGCATTATGTACAATTGTGTCTTCTAGAAGATGTCTGGGCTGAGAGTTCGGACACTAAAGGGAGCAGCAGCTGTGTGACGATTCACAGTCAGTTCTACTTCACTAACACCACCAACTCCTTTAACATGCTGCAGGATTGTGGGAACTGCTCCAGGTGTGTGTGTATGGAAAAAGTCATAAGTGCATTTTAATACACACTTTTCCCAACACAAACTCTCTTTCTGTCAGATTGTTCCACGCCAAGCGTATAGAAAACACAAACCTATTGTTTGTGGTGGCAGAGACGCTGCCCTGCAGCTCCTGCGAGATCGAGAAACTCCTACCTGTCAGAACAAAGTGTATCCTTCCTTCCCATAATCCTCTGCTCACAGAGCGACACTAACAGATACTAATCAGCTGTCATCTGTGTTTGAATGATGGACAGATGACAGACTGAGCTTGTGGCGTTTCCTTAATTTTCTTCTTCAGCTCAAGAAGAGAATCCGTGTGAGGTGTTAAACTCCGCCCGCTATCGGAAAGGACCTGACAAATGCTTCGACTACAACTCAGAGGTGAAGCGCTGTCTGTTTCTCTGATCAAACATAGTTGTTTTTTTTAAGATTTATTTTTGCCATTTTGCCTTTATTAAGATAGTGTAGAGTAGACAGGAAGCGAAGTGAGAGAGAGATTGGGGGGTGGGATCAGGAAAGGTCCTCAAGCCGGGATTCGAACTCGGGATGCCTGCAACGCAATGGCGTTATATTGTTGGTGAGCTGCCCAGTAGGCTATCAGCTCCGACCAAACAGTTTATTATGTTTTTATCATTTTTATTTTATAGACAATATCCATACAACCATCCAGAACACTTGAGCAATCACATTGCAACATTCTGGCAATCTCCCAGAACACCCTAGCAGCCACATGGTCAAATAGCTGAAACCCTCAAGCAGTCACATAGTAATGTCATGCTGAAACACATAGCGTCCAGGCGATTACTTAGAAAACTCAGGTAATCGCATAGTAATGTCCTGGCAACTACCCAGAACACCCTAGCAACCGAATAGCAAATTTCTGGCAACCACCCAGAGCTCCTGTTAAAGGGTTAGTTCACCCAAAAATGAAAATGCTGTCATTAATTACTCACTCTCATGTCATTCCAAACTCGTAAGACCTCCGTTCATCTTCAGAACACTAATTAAGATATTTTTGATGCATTCTGACAGCTTTCTGACCCTCCCATAGACAGCAAAGGTCCTTACACGATCAACGTCCAGAAACGTAGCAAGGAGATCGGTAAAATAATCCATGTGACATCAGGGGTTCAACCATAATATTACGAAGCTACGAGAATACTTTTTGTGTGCAAAAGAAAAAATAATAATGACTTTATTCAAAAATGTGTCTCCTCCGCGTCACCCTAGCGCCATTTTGGAGAGTATCCACTGAACGCAAACAGCATATGTTGTTATGTGTCAGCCGCACCATACGGATTTGATGTTTTTGTTCAAATCAAAGCACAAACAACGTAGAAAATGTATCCGCGTATCAAAACACCCTAGAAACCACCTGGCAACCACCAAGAACATTGTAGCAACTCCATAGTGATTCCCTAAGCAACTACCAAAAACTCTTAAGCATCCAAAACACCCTAGCAACTGCATGGAGACATCCTAGCAAATACCAAGAACACTTTAACAACCGCATAACAACATCCTGGCAACCACCTAAAAGACACATAGCAACTGCATAGTGATGCCAAGCAAAAGCCAAGAATTCACAAGCAACCACATCTGTGTAACCACCCAAAACACCCTAGCAAATTCATGCAAACATCCTAGCAACTACCAAAAACACTTAAACAACCACGTCCTGGCAACCACCTAAAACAACCTAGCAAGAGCATAGTGATGTCCTAAGCAACAACCAAGAACTCCCAAGGAACCACATCTGGGTAACCAACCTAAACACCCTAATAACTTAATGCAGACATCCTACCAACCACCAAGAACACTCAAACAACCACATAGTGACATCCTGGCAACCACGTAGAACACCCTAACAACCCCATAGTAATGCCCTAAGCAACTACCAAGAAAACTCAAAGAACCACATCTGGTTCCACCCAAAACACCCTAGAAATTGCGTATGAATGACCTGTCAGCTACCTGAAATAACCTAAAAAACTGCATAGCAACATCCTGGCAACCACCTAGAACACCCTAGTAACCGCAAAGTGACCCCCTAATGGTGGTCACACACCGGATGAGAATTGTAAACTCATATAAAACAATGTGTTCGAATTTTAAAGATGTGGCGCAACGCGGCGCTGCGCTTCTCTTCCGGTGTGTGACCGTTTTAAGCAACTGTCAAGAACTCTCAACTATCACATAGCAACATCCTGGCAACCACTCACAACACCCAAATAGCAATTGGAACACCTTAAAACGGCATAGCAACACCCTAGCAACCAGTGTCAAACAACTTGCTTTGCTGATGGTGAGTCTGTGTTCAGCGTTAACCTAAACGTTCTCTGTTTGTCTGTGTTTCTGGCAGGAGAACGCGTCAGAGTGTGGCAGCGCTCACTCTTTACACTGTCCGATGCGAGTTCTGCTCTGGATTCCGTTATTGTGGCTTTACCTCATTCTACGATCGTAATCCAAGTCCCACTGCCTTCAGTGTTTCTGTCCCTCATCCGTACGCCACTCCCGGTCCTCTCTTGAAATTCTCCTGGTTTTCCGGCTCTCTGTTTCATCATGAGGTGCATTCCAGCTGTGTGCCGTTACAGCAGAGCATGATGGGGAAACGTGGAACATTGTGCAGATCCAAAAAAAAACAAAAAACTGTCTTAAATCATTTCACCTTTATATTCAGAAAACGTACAAAAAAAATGTACAGTCGTTCTGCTACCGTAAAGTATTTTTGCTTGCCAAAAACAGGAAAGGACCTGGTTTGTTTCAAAATACTGAAACGCGACTCACGTTTTGACGGTTATTATCACAATCTCGCATTGTGTGTTTATTTGAGTCTTGCTTCGTTCTCAATTTAGTGCCAAACCCTGACATACGTAGATGCTCAAATGCAGCTTTCATTGAAATATCGTTTTTTTTTTAAGCTTCCTTGCCAAGAGAGAATGCCGTATTAATGCAAACTGCTTCGTTTAGAAAAGAAGATTTAGATTTTGTTTCGTGTTCATTTAGAGCCTTTGTCTAATGTTTTAAGGGCATATATTGTGTCTAAAAACTGCTGCCTGGTTTGTTACCCAACAGTGCCTTGGCGCACTTGTCCGAATGGACCAACAATAGCACTGGATGTGGATTCGACTGACCCTGAATAAATGCTGGAGAAAGACACAGTATTGAATGTTTACAGTATACAGTATAAGGGTAATTGTCATGAAACCTGGCAAAAGTTCATATTTCACCCCAAAATCAAAAGATATGAATAGGAAGTGGCACATAAAGAAAATGAAGCACATTTTTAGGATCATTAAGATTTTAAAAGCACATTTTCCCTCCAAATCTCATTACCATAATGTGAAAAAAAAACCGTTTTCTCATTATTGTAATGTGGGAATAAAAATATTTTTATAATATGGTAGCATTTGTTATACTGCCTTAATTTATGATTATTCAAATAGTAAAAAAAAAACATTAAAATAATGTCACAATGCAAAAAATATGCACGATATTCCTACAAATACCCTTTTTCGTGAGTTTTTGGGTATTTTTCTGTTGATTTTGGGGTGTTTCTCGTTATACATCTTTTGACGTTCAGTATGGGTTTATAATGCATATTCTACTAATTCTGTCACTCAAATGGTTTTAACTTTTTTCTGATGTAAATATGGTTATTCCACACTGACTTAGTTTTTGGGTATTTTTCTGTTGATTTTGGGGTGTTTCTCGTGAGACTCGCCCGTGCACGTATTTTGGCGTTCAGTATGGGTTTATTACACTTATTCTACTTGTTCTGTCTTTAGAAAGTCACTCAAATGGTTTTATCTTTTTCTGATGTAAATATGATTATTCCACACTTGATCTAGTTCAGTGTGTTTTAATGAAATGGAATGCAAGCTGATGTCTCGATGTCCTGCTGCATGCTGGGAAAAATGATAACCGCTATTAAACTTCATGATTTTAGGACATTTACTAGAAGGACATTCGACCCTTTGAGACACTGAACGGACCAACTTTATCTTCTTGATGAATCTGTAGATGTATTTATTTTGATTTAATTTAAAGGGGTCATAGGATGCTACATGCACTTTTACAAGTTGTTTGAACTGAAATGTTGGCAGTGTGTGTACACAACCACCCTATGATAAAAATCCACCCGGTGTTTTTTTTTTAATCTTATTAAATGTTTTCCTCTTTCTCAAATCGAGCCGATCTCAGATGCCTGTCTGTGTGACGGCACACAGACAGGCCCCTCCCACGATAGTTTGATTGACAGTAGCATTTCAGCACAGACTGGACTGGTGTCTTACCTTAGACCCGCCCTGAGTGAGCCGTCATTAGTCCGCCATTGTTTCACCGCCGGAGCAGATGTAGACAAGAATGACTCCTAAGCGATTGAGGTGAATGAACATAGCAGTCGTCATTTACTCCCGACATCTGAGCCGCTGAACTTGCAGTGGATTTCGTTTGTTTCTGCAGGGAATGCTCCCCCGATCTACCTAAATGCGTCTATCTTCACACGAATCATTCATGATCCAGCCTCACCTACAGAAGAAGTGAGTATAATGTTTTGTAATGAATCTTTGCAAATCGCCTTTCCTAATAATGTGCTAATTAGCAAGTTTCACGATGAATGCAGCTAAAGTAAACAGTCTCTCTGAGAGCAGCTCGGAAGAGAGGGGCGGAGTCAGCAGAGCTCATTAACATTTAAAGAGAAATGCTACAAAAACGGCTTGATCTGAAAAGAGCTGTTTTTGACAGGGTAAAAAAAGGTGTTTTTACACTACCATTGAGAAATTTTAACCAAACTATGTTACAGACTTTTCATTAAGACCCTACAGAATCATATCAACTTGTGGAAAATGGGCATCATATGACCCCTTTAAAAGATACGTGTGTATATTGCTTGCAATATGTATCAAGTGTGAATTTTGAGATGCTTTCATGCTTTTATTTAAATGTTTTGGATTTTATCGCAGATGTTTTGTTGCTTTTCAGTAATTATAACATTTTAAGGGTCCATTTAGACAAAAAAATTTATTACTTGGTGGTATTTCATCTTTTAACGTGGCCAAAACAATTGAACTTCCAAATGAATGGGTCGAGATTCTTATAAATTGAACTGAAAGGGTTTCGCTTGACGTATTTTGTATCGTAATGGCTTGAGCAATACTTTGAATTATGTCAACTACGCTGAAATGCAAGTGAGCGCTACTGAATTAGTGTAAAGAGAGCATGAAATCAGTATTGAGCCGCTTTCTTTGGATGACTTTGATTCAGGCTTATCTTTGAATATCAGCTTAACGTTTGTATGTGAGCTATGAGCGTTCTAACAGTTTTTTTTTTTGTATTTTGTTCTGCAGATGTTTGTTAACTATGTAAAAGGGTTTTTCCTCCCTTTCTGCGGTCTTCCATATCACTTCATTTTGTACAGATGGCACAAATCTATCAAGAAAGGCTAACTTTGTATCATATTGTGTCATTCACTTCTGGGAGATGTTTATAAGAGAATTGGTGAGATAAAGACATTCATATTTTTCACGTCAACTTGGTATGGATTTTTATTTTTTATTCCAAAAATATGTATTTGATAATGAAAGAGAACAGCAGGTTTTTATTACAGCAGTAAAACAGCTGCAAGTAATCATATTTACTTCCTGTGGTGATCTAGGCTTGAGGATATACTCGGCTGTTTCCTTGCCCTGTATAAAAAAAAGAAAAAGAAAAGAAACATTTTTGTTATGAATATTTTTTCATACTTTTATTATATATATTATATAATATATATTTTATTATATATTATATATACTTTTAATATATATATATATTACAGTTTGTGACCTCAAGCTCAAGCGGTTATGCAGCATGCAGCAGGACAATGATCCCAAACACACCAGCAAGTCAACCTCTGAATGGCTCAAGAAAAACAAAATTACGGTTTTGGAGTGGCCAAAGACTTAAATCCGATTGAGATGCTGTGGCATGACCTTAAACAGTCTGTGAAAGACTCATTGCCATTTATCGCAAACGCTTGATTGCAGTTGTTGCTGCAAAGGGTGACACAACCAGTTATTAGATTTAGGAAGCAATTACTTCTTCACGTAGTGCCAGGCAGATTTGGACAGCTTTTTTCCCTTAATAAATGAAATCATTATTTTAAAGCAATTAATTTTTCACGTAGGGCCACGTAGGTTTGGACAGCTTTTTTCTCTTAATAAATGAAATCATCATTTACAAAACTGCATTTTGGTTTTGCATTGGGTTATCTTTGTGTAATATTACAATTTGTTTGATGATCTGAATATTTTAAGTGTGACAAATATGCAAAAAAAAAAACAGGACGGGGGCAAAAACTTTTTCATACCACTGTAGATATTTCTTATAATATTTATATTTTCTTTATATAAATATAATATTTATATTTATTATTTTTTTATATTTTTAGATATATATATGTTTAGATATTTATTCGTCAACGTATTTGTTTCAGATTAGAGATAGCAGACAGCTCATCTTCCCAGCATCACAGCTCTTGGCTCTAAGCTTGTTGACCTGGGACTCTGCGATGTCAGCACGCTCCTGAGCTTCCTCCAGCTCATGCTGCACCTTCCTGTACCTGGACAGGTGAGTGTTGGCCTGGTCCTCCTGCCATGTGCAAAAACAAATGTTGGGCTACTAGCATCCTGGGATCTTTTCACGTCTTGTGTGACTAGATACAAAGGTAATCAACTTTAGCTACTTCAGTAAGGAACTGCTGTTAACTAACCTGGGATTGTAAATACTTTGGCTAGCTAACTGGCACTGCTAGCACAGATAGCTTGTGTTGACATAATGCCCTTTTCAATCATTCAGTCAACGGTCCAATTATGAGCCCTAGTTAAGAAAGGTTTTGTTTAAGCCGGGCTCACACTACAGGATTGAAAGACTAGCCGAATCACTGTGTTGCTCACACTACGCAACAAGATTTGTTCTCATCTGTCGTTGTCTTGTCATAGCTGTGCGCATACTACACAACACAACGCTAACAAGGTGCACACACTACAAAACATTCAGTGAAGAGGCGTTCCCAACCATCAGCGAAAATACGTTTTCTCACATAAATTCTCGCGAGAAATTACAGCGATTATAGGCCATTTCTTCAAGAATGGACGATCAACTGGCCCTTCAATTGGTCTGTGCAGTTATTTTATCCGAAAAAAGAAGAAACCACGACAAAAGAGAATATGGCAGAAACAATGGCTTGGAAGACGTGGACAACACGGACTGTCAGTACTGCAGAAAGAGTTGGAGGTAATTAAACAGTACAATGAAACGTGGTATCATATACCAAATCTATGCATTTGTTACATTTATTTCTAGTTAGTTGATTTGATTAATTTGTGGCTTTTCGTGTCTGTTCATAAAGATGCATGATAAGAGTGTTTATACCATCTGCACTGTGATTGGCTGGATTAGTTCCACCCTGTCATTGTGTCGCTCACATTACGAGATCGCGTGGCGATAATATCAAACAGGTTTGAAAATATCGTAGCGTCTGTGATAGCTCGAGACAGGTTCGGATCACGTTGCTGACCTGCTCATACTTAACGAGCTTCGGCGAGCGCAACAAGCACCGATTTGGCCACAATCCGGAGGTTTTGTCGCAGACTGTAAATCT